TACTATTCAGACGCTATGTCTACTGTTGCGTGGTTATAGATAGCATGAAGTAAGCACTTTGCATGACTACTCGGTTATTCACTAGAAAGCATGCCTATAGGATGTATAATATCTGCTTTGTCAACTTAGAAACCATGCCTATAGGAAATCACACACTTCACTCAACTTGCCTAATATCTGCACATTATTCAAAAGCATGATTCGTTGGACTACATATTTTACCTGCTCTTATGTCTACTTCTGTCCGATTATTAGATATCATGCCTATAGAGAATGAATGCTAATAACACCCCTTCCAATCCGCACCACGCTTAATAGATATCATACCTATAGGATTTTAATTACTTAGATTCACTGCTACGTCACACTGTCTATCTAGAAAGCATGCCTATAGGAGCTAAATATGTATAAAATCAGCTCAAACTGTCAACCTTTAGAAAGCATGCCTATAGGAGCAGATTAAGTAATTCTGAATGTCTTCCATGGCTATCACTACTAATCATTGCCCGACTACTGCATCTAGATATCATGTCTATAGGTTTAAACACTTATAATCTGTAATTTTAGTAATCAGTACGTAATACTAGACTCCCTGAAATATATAGTTATTCAGAAAGCATGCCTCTAAAATAGCACCTTACATCTGAAACTGACTGCATGTTTGAACTCCAAGATCACATAAAAAATATGTCTATAGGATTTAATGACTTTAACTCACCTGAATTTTGAAACTGTCTTTGTTTGCGTGCATTTGTTGTCTAAGTGTGAAAGCTAACTTGAGCCCTTAACTGCTTTTATGTGAAATCCAACTTGTTTTGTATGTCGCCTAGTTTTCTCATTTTTGTGCAACCTAAATTAGGTCTAGAACCACCCAAAATAGAGGTCCAAATGCCTCCTGGACCGTAGGCATGGGACGGGTAGTGCACGCATAGGGTACGAGTTATAATTGAACTATTACGCTTTAGGTAACAACTTAAAGATAGTAATCGGGTAGCAGGAGATGATAGTCTGTGCCCGCTGAATAATACGAGTAACACCCCATCTGGAGGGAGTTACGAAGTATTATTTATGTTGCACGGGGTGATCCTCTAGGCTAAAAAACTTAGGACCCCCCCCCCTCGCTTTCTTTCTTTTTCGACTAGAATCAAAATAGTTGTGCCCTTTATTCAAAATATGTTTATAATAAACTTCTTAAATTTGTGTGCTCTCTCTTCGTTTATTTGATCACATAGACTAATTCATAATTTAAGTTCGGCCGGGACCCACAGCTGTGGACCTCGAAGAGTGCCTAACACCTTCTCTTCGAGGTAATTTCGAGCCCTTACCCGATCTTTAGTGACACAAACTAGTCAAAAAGAGTTATTTGCAAATAGGTGCCTAACGCACCTTAAATCCGTTAGGTGGCGACTCTCTCCTTTAACACCTTCCTTTAAAAGAGTTGTCACGTGTCGAAACACAATTTTGCGAGAAAAAGGGGCGCGAGACTAATTTTTCTAAGTGTGGATATCTAGTCTCGGCCTCACCTAAGGTCCGACTAACATAATAGATAGGGAATTGCGTACCTTGTTCTTCTCGGACCAGGACTCCACTTACCGCTATCTCCGAGACTACTAAGTACAAGTAAAGTTGTTCGTCCATTTTCAGGGTATGAAGCAGCGGCGGGCTCGATAAGTACTGCTTTAGTTCTTCCAAGGCCTACTGATATTTCGGGGTCCATGCAAAATTGTTCTTCTTCCTAAGCAGCGAGAAGAATCGGTGAATCTGGTTTGAGGACCACGAAATGAATCGCTCTAGAGCGACTATGCGCCTGGTTAGCCTCTCCACGGCCTTTACATTATCTACGACCTTGATATCCTTGATAGCTTTGATTTTATCGGGGTTGATCTCGATCCCCCAATTAGATACCATAAAGCCGAGAAACTTGCCCGAGGCAACCCCGAATGCGCACTTTTTTGGGTTGAGCTTCATATTATACTTCCTTAGTATATCGAAGCTTTCCTGCAAATGCCTTAAATGGTCCTCTGCTCCCAGGGACTTAACTAGAATGTCACCAATATAAACTTACATAGATTTCCCTATTTGTTCTTTCAATATTCGATTTACTAGGCGTTAATAGGTTGCACCATCATTTTTAGTCCGAATGGCATTACTTTGTAACAATAGGTGTCGTGCTACTTCGTGATGAACAAAGTTTTTTCCTGGTCTCCCGGCTTCATTTGCATTTGGTTGTACCCGGCCGTGGCATCGATCATACGATCGATGTTAGGCAAAGGAAAAGAATCATTGGGGCATGCCTTATTTTGGTCTTTATAATCTACACACATTCTAAGTTTGTTTCCCTTCTTAGGGACTAGCAGTACGTTTGTCAGCCATTCGGGATACTTTACCTCTCGAATGGATCCTAATTGAGAAGTTTGGTTACCTCTTCCTTGAAGAAGGCATGTTTAATATCGGACTGGGGCCTCCTTTTTTTCTTCACGGGCGGAATTTAGGATCCACGCTCAGCTTGTGAATGGTAATTTCCGTAGGGATCCCTGTGATATCGAGGTGGGACCAAGCAAAGCAATTCATGTTAGCTTAAGGAAATGAATAAGTTTTTTCTTGAGCTCGGGGGTTAGCCTCGTGCCCAGGTATACATTTCATTGTGGCTGATGTTTGATCAGTGTGATTTATTCCAGCTCTTCGAACGTTGATTTGGTGGCATCAGAGTTATCAGGAACTACGAAAGATCGAGGTATCCCATAGTAGTCGTCCTCATCGGTCTCTCGCTTCTCCGGTTGGGTCGAAGCTGGTGTCTGTGGTTGCTATTTAGCCTCTTGCTTTCCCTTTGAATCCGATCCCTTTGCTAAAGAAAGTGTTGACACCGGTATCACTTCATCGATTGCGAACATCTCCTTGGCGGCGGGCTGCTCCCCGCACACTGTTTTTGACTCCCTCAGATGTCGGGAACTTCAGAACTTGGTGAAGGGTCGAGGGTACTGCCCTCATGTTATGGATCCAAGGCCTTCCGAGCAAGGCATTGTACCTCATATAACCCTCGATTACATGGAACTTCATTTCCTGGATGGTTCCGGCCACGTTCACTAGCAAAATAATTTCATCTTTGGTGGTTTCACTCGCCATGTTGAAGCCGTTAAGTACTCGGGTTGCGGGCACAATTTGACCTTGAAGGCCGTGTTGTTCTACAACCCTCGATCAAATAATGTTGGCTGAGCTACCTGGATCAATATTACCAGCTCATTGTTATGAGGTTGTTCGATCCCTTCTGCATCATCGTCATTGAAAGACAAAGTCTCTACCGGTAAGTAGTCTCGTGTTCGCTTTTCCCTTGTGATTGTCATCTTGGTGCATTTAAATACCGATCCTTGAGGAATATCGACTCCTCTGACGATCGTGTGAATCACGTTTTGCGGCTCCTCCCGCTCGTTCTGTCTGTTCGAATCCCTGTTTTTGAAGTGGTTCTTAGCTCGATCACTTAAGAATTCCCGAAGGTGTCCCTCGTTGAACAATCGGGTTACTTCCTCCCTTAGCTGTCTGCAATCTTCTATTTTATGGCCATGGGTGCCATGATACTTGCATAAATGGTTTGGATTTCTCTGGTCCAGATCGGTCTATAGAGGTCGAGGCCACCTAGTATCTTTGATACGTCCAATGGCCGACACTATGGCGGAAGTATCTACGTTGAAATTATATTCTGGCAATCGAGGTGATTCTTTGGACACGACGTCCCTATCGAAACCACTTTTGCTCATGAGCCCTCGGGAGCTCCGTCCCGATCATTCCTTCTATCATTCCTAATGGGATTGCATACAGGGCCATTATTTCTCCGATCTCCATCGTATGGCTGATATCGATCTCTGTTCGACTGTGGTTCCTGGTCAAAGTCCCTTTTAACTCTTTCCACGGGCCTGTTAGGATAAACCGAATCGGCCCAAGTGACAGCTGGATATTTGATCAAATTCTATTTCAGTTGTTGTGACGCTACGGAACTTCGAGTATTGAAACCTTGAGTAAAATCTTGAACAGCCCAATCGTCGGTAACTTGTGGCAAATCCATCCGCTCCATGTGGAATTGAGATACGAATTCCCTGAGCATCTTGTTGTCTTTTTGTCTTACCTTGAAAAAGGTCCATTGTGGCAACCATAATAGCTCCGGCGTGTGCCTTTACAAAATAATCTACAAGCATAGCAAATGAATCAATAGAATTAGGTGGTAAATTGTGGTACTATATCATAGCACTCTTCGATAGAGTCTCCCGGAATTTATTCAGCAATACGGACTCAATCTCATCATCTTCCAAGTCATTTTCCTTAATAGCGCACGTATAAGAGGTGATGTGTTCGTTTGGATCTGTCATCCTGTTATACTTCGGAATCTCGGGCATACAGAACTTCTTAGGCATTGGCTTCGGAGCCGCACTCGGGGCGAATTGCTTTTGGACAAACTTTTTGGAATCAAGTCCTTTCAATACCGGGGATGCCCGGGATATGGTCGACCCTAGAGTTATAAGATTCCACCTTCTTATAATTTTCCTCGATCTTCTTCTCCCCTGTCTCGATTCCGTTCGTCAGTTCTTCGAGCATTTTTACGATAGATGGGTTGGTCTCCAGTTCTCCTCCATTTGATCTCTTTCGCACCGATTCGGCTCTATGAATATTTTTTTATGATGGCTCGAGCTCGATCCTGCTTGGTGTACGATTCTAATTCTGGAGTTGTGCTATTGCAGCTTGTTGAGTCTGCAACATTTCGAATATCATTTGAAGGCTAATCCCGCCTTCTTACCGCCCTGTGCATTCTGATCGGCTATTCGAGCATCTCTGCAGAAGCTACTTTCAGGATCGACGCCCAAATTCCCATTAATGGCAATATAGGAGCTGACGTCGATTGGGTCCACGGCCAGAACTCCATCGGGGTTGACTCGAGGTACTCCGTTTCCCGGGCGGCAATATTGTCGTTCTCGCCATGGAGACCAATAGTATGAACTGAACAATAGAGCTGGTAAGAGATAAAGAATGTAATATATTGCTTGGTTATGCGTGAATGTATGATGCCTACAGAATGTTTGGGACCCTCTTTATATAGTAGAGGAGTTCTATTTACGGTACAATTCTAATTACAGAAGCAAATCCCTTGATAGACTAGATAACCGATCCTGACTTGATACGTGCCGAGATTCCGTCACGATCCTCCCCACAGCAAAATGGGGTTGCAGAATGGAAAAAGAGACATTTATTGGAAGTTATTAGGGCACCTTCCTTTGAGATGAATCTTCAAAAGTCTTTATGGTCTGAAGCAGTGTTAACCTAGGTTTACCTGATTAATAGGGATGCTTTCCGTGGTATTGAAAGGGACCTGTACAAGTGTGTGCCTGACCACGGATATCTCGGCTTTCTGTTATTCGACTTAGCATGCTCCCTTTGATCTCTTTCTTGCTTTGGTCTCGATCCCAGCTAGTCTCGATCTTGATCGGTCATTGATCCACGAGCTCACCGACTTACCTTCGCACCATGGTTTGATATTACCGAGGCTGAGCCCTGATCTGCCACCCCGATTTCGATTAGTCATACAAAATTAGGCCAGCCCGATTTTGACCATATACAATATCTTAATTGATCATAGCAGCTCTGATATACAAGAAATTCATTTAAAATACAAAAGGTATTAAAGCCTTGACATTTCTAGGGAAATCTTCGAATTTGGAAATGTACCATTTCCTAGTAGCATAACTCCTCCCCGTCAAATAAAATACTGCGCCTATTGTAGAAGAAAAAGAAAATAAAGTTTGGCTAATAAGAGAAAACCCAAAAAATGTGACAATCTCAAAAAGGTAATGAGGGCATATAACTAGGTTAAATAGGCCACCTTTGGGAATCTTATAGCCATTTTCACCCTTTTTTCTCATATTAGAAAGGAGAAAATGGTAGTAAAAATTGCCAATAATTCCCACTAAAAATACAATAAAACCAAGATACTTCAAATCAATATTTGGGTCTGATGATCCTTCAGTCAAGTGTTGAATATATATCAAGCTTGAAAAGGCCATTAAGTAGGATGAGGAGATAGTAATTGCAGAGTTCATAGCCATGGCACCACTGTATTTGTGTACAAACAGAACCTGCAAAAATACATAAAAAAAATTTGAATTCTCTTGACATAAGACATTTCCTATCGTACCTTTAGGACTAGCGTTATCCTCGTGATCCCTATTTTTAGGTCATTGGTATTCTTTGGTTCGATTTTATATTTTTTGGACGTTGCTATTATTTCTCTTTCCATAGTTCTTTGTCATAATTGCTGTAAATTTTGATTTTACTGAGCCGAAGGTTTTCCGAAAACTGTCTCTCTACCTTCACAAGGTAGGAGTAAGGCTGCGTAAATACTACCCTCCCCAGACCCCACTTGTGATAATATACTGGGTCTATCGTTATTGGTAAAGGTAGTTAAAAAATTACTTTAGGTCTCGGGTTCAAATTTTTTAAATCCCTTATTAGAATTCCTGACTCCATTACTGACATTATAAAAAATCTATATGTTGTCGGTGCATAGAACTTAAATTATTATTAAACTTTCATGATGCTAGTACTTTTAGAATAAGCTTTGATAGCAAATGTGAGGAAATATTACACTACTCTCTTAGCTAGCGTTTGGATATAAAATTTGGTTAAAACTTGAAAAAGGACTTTTGAAGTTGTGTTGAAAAATAATTATTGAAAGTTGAAGTTGTGTTTGGACATGCAATTTATTTAAAAAAAAAGAAAGTAGAAGTTTTGTGAGTGGAAAAAAAAATTCATCCAAAAACTGCCCTAAACTAGTTTTTGGGTACTTGAAATTTTTTTTCAAAAACTGATCATATTTCATACCCAAACAATATTTTCAAAATTTTTTGAAAAAAAATAGCCAAAATCTATAGCCAAACAGGAGCTGAGTCTCTTACCAACTTTTATATAGGGAAAAGGGCCAAAAATGGCCCTCTACTATGCGAAAAGGATTATTTATACCCTCCGTTATACTTTTGGTCAACTATTTCCCTCGATGTTATAAAACTGATGCAAATATACTTCTCCTCTGTTAGGATTCTCCACCATGGCCAACCATCTCACGTGGCCTGGCATTTTGCTGAGATGGATGTTATGTGGCATGTCACATTAGTGTCCCAACAATATTTTATCCTCTCCTTCTTCCACCGCCACCATCACCTTTTTTTTGCTTGAATTGATATTTTGTAAGTTGAAGCTCATGAAGAGTTCCCAGTTATATTAGTTGGATTCGTTTTACTGACCCTTTTTTTTCTTCCCTTAAAGTGGGTAAAATTGGATACAATGTTTTGTTTATTTCGTTTTTCATTTGGATATAATGTGATATTTTGGTCTTTTCCACTTTCAGTTTTTTTTTTTCTCGATTGGATGTATGTTGTGTTTTCGTATGATTTGTTCAAACAATTCTGGATGGCTAGTTATCTTTTCCACTTTCTCAACTTTAATAAGGTGCATATGTATGCTGGAGAATCTTTTTTTTGTTTGTACAATATGTCCAGATAACAATCTATTATGTGTTCTGCTTGCTCAATAGAATTAGTAAACAACTTCCTTTAAAATCATTTTTTTTTCTGTGGTGTATACGGATAATCTCTTTTGGGAGACAGGGTGAAGGGAAAGGTGTTGGTGGAAGAGGTGGAAGAAGAGGGTAAAATGTGATTGGGACAGTGATGTGGCATGCCACGTGGTGTCCATCTCAGTGAAACGCCATGTCATGTGAGATGGTGTGGCCATGGTGGAGGGTCCTAACGAAGGAGCGGTATTTTTGTACTAATTTTATAACATCGGCGTAATGATAGACCAGTAGTGTAACGGAGGGCATAAATGATCATTTTTCACATAGTAGAGAGGCATTTTTGACCCTTCTCCCAAAATTTTATAATAGAAAAGCTGTAGGTTTTCACGTGTCTGCTTAGAATAATAAAATCGGATTTCAAATCAGGGCTGCCCTATTTACATGATTTTATGACAAAAGGGATTCAATAACCCTCTTCAGGTCAAAAAGTAATTCTTCATAGTAAACTTGATATAATATCCTTTTTAGAGTAACAAACCAGTTGTACTCAATTAAATTGAACTGATGATAGTAAAAAAAAAAAAAATATATTATCGATAAATATAACATAAATTCTTTAATAGTAGTAGTAAGGAAAGAAAAGGGTAATTACCTCAAGAACTCTTTTGAAGAAATGAATGGCAGTAGCAGAGTTGAGCATGAAAAATCTGATTCCACCATTTGGGAAGATCCAAAAGAAACTTAAACATGCTATTAGAGTAGGGGTATAAGCTATAAGCATTCCAATTCTACTTGGGACCTTAGTTTTGACTTGCTTTTGAGAATTCACATTCCAGAACTTTGAATATTCAAGATTCTGTATTCCAAAACCTTCTGAAATACCCAATATTGCAGAAAATACTAAATTCATCATTACCATGATTTTGATGAAAATTGTACTTGGTTCTTGAAATAATATTGCTCTAAATATTTGTGCCATGGTCATCACTTCCTCTCTGGTATTTTTCCTATCTTTCTATTGTTTTCTCTTTAGGATGTGTGGATGTATTTTTATTGGATTAAGGGAACAAAAAGACAACAATGAAATGTATGGGTACTGAAGTAGTTAGGCCAAGAGCATCTTACAAATGGCTGACCAAGAAGAAAATGTGAAATACTTTGTTAAGAAATAAGACACAAGAAGATAAAAAGGGCAGTACCTAATACAAGTATTAGTAGATGTTTTTACTATACAAATACGTGATATATAAATTATACGGAGATAATTTTATCATAGCTTCAAAACTCCCTGCAAATAAGACACAAAAAGATATATAATAAAAATAAAATCTTAATCCCTGCACTGACTTTGTGGATAACATTTTTTCCTTTCTCATTGATGAGAACGGACCAACAAAAAGGTTTGGGGGGTGGGGGGAGTGGTGGGGGTGGGGGGGGGGGGGTAATTTTTTTTTTCTAAAAAGTGGTACGCTTACCCGATT